AGGACGACCATAGCTCGGAGAAACGTCTCTCGACATTGGAGGCAGGATTACAGACCCTCCAGCAACAGATCTCTAAGCTGTCGGCCAGTATGGAGTCGAGGTTCGACTCTCTCCAATCTGACAGGAGGTCCCGCAATCTGAGCCAATCTCCATACACCATTCAAACCAAATCACTATCCGTTTGTTTCAAATGCAGAGAGCCAGGCCATTTTGCCCGAGAATGCCCAAAGAAAGAGGATGTACCTACCATGAGCCCATAGAAGGGTAATTTAAACATCCAAGGGTCGGGACAATAGGCCAAATCCTAGACCCAAAAGAACCACCTGGCCTAGGTAGGTCCAGTCCCGAGAAGGCAGATTCCCGAACTGAGGAAAGGGAAAAGGGTACTGATGCCGAGGTCGTCATCATCAACCAGGTCAAGTCCAAGGCTCTCTACCATACAACCGTGCACCTAGGTGACACCAAGGTAGACGCTATTGTGGACACGGCGGCCGAATCTTTTATTCTGTCGGACAGGGTCTTCAATATTCTCGACCCCAAACCCCCCATCATATGCAAAAATAATTTCCAAACAGCAGGAAGAGGAATGCATATGTCCGGGTACAAGGTTGGCCCTGTTAGCATACAAGTGGGCTCTACAGTGTACCACGAGGTGCTCCATGTGGTTCCTATCGAGGACGATATGCTGCTGGGTTTTGATTTCCTCTATGGACGGGGGGCCAAAATTGATATGGGGAACCACCTGCTGAGGATAGGGAAAGATACTGTTTCCCTCAGAGTTGGGGAGCGGGACAACACAACGCGTGAAGGTACGGTTACTGTGGCCCAGCGGAGGATGATTCCTCCGAACTCGGTGGCACAAGTAAAGTGTCATCTTGACGGGATTCTGCCAGATTATGTCATCGAGGCGACGATGTGCAACAAAATAGTAGTACCAAGGACGGTACAGCTGAGTAGAAAGGGGCCAGTGGTATGCGTTCTGAACACCACCCCAAATTTTATGGTACTGAAGAAAGGAAAGGATATGGGGAAGGCTTCAGAAGCTGAAATTGTACCCGAGAACACAGGGGGGGGGGGCGTCGAGGTCGAACCTTACTCCCAGGGAATTCAGTGATATGTCCAAGCTTATACACGAATTCCAAGATGTGTTCGCTAAGCATACCTTTGACTTGGGTAGCTTTAGAGAGATCGATCATACAATAAATACTCCAGATGCCGCCCCATTAAACAGCGAATGAGGCGCACTCCCCTCAAGTTCGTAAAGGAGGAGGAGAGCGAGATCGCAAAAATGCTGGAGGCAGGAGTTATACAACCATCCAATTCGGAGTGGGCCTCGGCTCCAGTATTGATCAGGAAACGGGATGGGTCCGTAAGGTTTTGTATCGATTAAAGGGCCCTGAACAATGTAACGGTGAAAGACGTTTACCCCCTTCCTTTAGTTGAGGAGTGTGTGGACACTCTGGCGGGGACTCTCCAAACTCGACGCTAATTCTGCGTCCTGGCAAATACCGATAACGGAGGAGGATCAGAGGAAAACGGCCTTTATAACCAAATATGGGTTGTTTGAGTATGTCAAGATGCCGTTTGGTCTGACCAATGCACCAGCAACTTTTTTCTAGGGTGATAAATCTGGTGCTGAGGGGTCTAAACTGGAAAACGGTCTTGGCATTTCTAGATGATATCCTAGTCCTGGGGAGCAGTGTCGAAAACCATCTACAAAACTTGAGAGGGGTATTTTTAAGGTTGCGCCAGTATGGCCTAAAATTAAAACCCAAGAAGTGTATCTTTTTCCAGCGAAAGGTTGAGTTCCTGGGAAGGATAGTTAGCGAGAATTATCTGGAGATGTTGAGGGGCGACACCGAAACCGTTAGAGACTGGCCAACCCCGACAACCTCTAAGGATGTGGAACGATTCCTGGGGTTAGCCAACTACCATCGGGGGTTCATTAAGGACTTTGCTGAAATCACGGTCCCATTGTACCGTGTGACTGGAAAACAGGGTTTCTCGTGGAAGGAACCGCAACAGCGGGCCTTTGACACTCTAAAAAAAAGACTGGTTAGTCCACCGGTGCTAGCCCTCCCGAACGAGACGGACGCATTCATCCTGGACACGGATGCCTCCAATGAGGCCACTGGAGTGGAGTTAATTCAGGTACAAGAAGGACACGAGCGAGTGATCGCTTATGCCAGCTTTGCTCTCACGCCTGAGCAGAGGCGATACTGCTCCACCCGGAAAGAATTACTGGCGGTGGTAAGATTAACACGACAATTCCGCCACTATCTCTTGGGCAGACCTTTTTGGGTCCGGACAGACCATAGCAGCCTTACCTGGCTACTGAGGTTTAAGGCGCCACAAGGTCAATTGGCTAGATGGATGGAGGAGCTCAGCCAGTACAATATGGTATTGAGACACCGGAAAGGGACACTGCACGGCAATGCAGACGCACTAACAAAATCAACGGTGGGGAATAGTCACTATGTCCACGGAATACAGCCCCAAGATTTGCCGTGCAAGGGGTGTCACTACTGCCAACGAGTCCACAGCCAATGGGCGTCTTTCATCGAGGAGGTAGACGATGTGGTGCCCCTATCGGTTGTTGAGGACGACAATGCTATTCTGAGGAGGCGGGATATTGAGGATGCGACTCCAGTAACCGTGGAGGTGAGTGGTGATCTCTGTAGAGTGTCGACCCTCACAGAAAATGAACGGCTGGTCAAGGTAGTACGAGCCGATTTAGACCCCCAAAGGTGCTGTTGGGGATTTGCCATAAGAAAGGTCGGCGAGGAGCAAGACCTATAACTGGTACGGGACTGGCTGACCCTTCTGACGGTGTCATATTTTTGTCCAGTGTGGCAGCCACGTTTTACTGGATAAACAAGGAACGCCTTCTGATGAGTGAGGGTACTCTGTTCTTAAGAAAGAAAGATAGCCGTGAGCGAGTTTTGGTGGTGCCTAGGGGCCTTACAACTCCATCATGACATACCGGCCGCGGGTCATCAGGAAATATCACGTACCATCGCCCGCATGAGGGAAAAGTTCTACTGGTACGGAATGACCAATGATGTAGAGAGATATGTGCAGACATGCGAGATTTCTAACCAAAGTAAGAAGCCTAACAGGCGTGGAAAACACTCGCTGGTACAATACCATGCAGGGGCCCCTATGGAGAGGGTGCACATAGACTTTCTTGGATCGCATGCTCGGACGGAGCGAGGGAATGAACACATCCTCATGATGGTCGACCAGTTTACCAAATGGGTGGAGGTCATACCCCTACCCTCGCAAACAGCAGAGGTGACGGCCAGGGCAGCTGTCGACTCGTTCTTCTCAAGGTTCGGGGTCCCATTTAAGATATTCTCGGTTCAAGGGAGAAATTTTGAGATTAAACTATTTTCCGCGCTTTGCGAAACATTGCACATCCCCAAGTCCCGAACCACGCCCTACAGACCTTCGTCCAACGGACAGGTGGAGAGGTATAACCGAACCTTAATGGACGCGGTTCGGGCAAACGCCAGAAAGACTGGGATGTGTTCCTGCCACAACTGGCTGGGGGTCTGAGGTCTACGGTTAATAGAAGCATTGATCAAACACCCAACATGATGATGCTAGGCAGGGAAGTGAATCTCCCTGTAGATTTGATTTTCAGGCCAGGGGGCTCTGAAGAGAAAAAAAAGGTGCCAGCATAAATTTCGGAGTTGGTGGTGTCGATGTAGGAAGCCCACGATGTAGCAAGGAAACAACTGGGGCAATACCAGCGGAACATGAAGCGGAATTACGATCTCCGAATCCTGGAACGCTCATTCGAACAAGGGGATATTGTGTATATTTTGGACGATAGCTCGCTAAAAGGGATATGCAAGAAATTAAGCTCCCCGTGGAGAGGACATGGGATAGTGGAGGAGAGGATCACACCGTACTTGTTCACAGTACAGTTACGGAACAAACTTATGGTCTTCAACCATGACAAACTAAAGCCCTGTCGAGATCGACAGATTCCTGCTTGGCTGCGGAGTTTCACAGTCCCTGCTCCAGTATCCAACGTGGACACCGATGAGGGCGTGTACTGTACCTGCAAACAACACTGGGGTGGGCAATTCATGATCCAGTGTGATTATTGTGACGAATGGTATCACGGGTCCTGTATTAACGTCGCCCCATCAGATGCATTGGACATGAACCGGTACAAATGTTCACGCTGTAGATAAAAGTATTCTTATATATTGTGGTTTTATTTCTTCTGCAGGATTCAACTGAGGCAGTGATGAATCCCACACAGATTTCCCCAAAACGGAGGCTGCTAGGACTGGAGGAGGACGCCACCTCCGACGGGCGGCTGATGGATGATGAGGGGTTATTCAGGGAACTGTTCCTGAATGACAAATTGACATCGGACCACCTTGAGAGCATTGTTCTTGGCCAGGTGGCCGTGGCAGTTCGGATGGACAACAAGCCTTGGCTCCGTAAGGCGGCTGGTGCAGCGACCTCCCTGTTCTCAGACCAGTGGGTAAGTGAGCATATTTGTAAGCTACCCCAGCGACGAAGACGTTGCCGACCGACTGAAGAGCTCACACTCACTCGGTACTCCTGCTTGGTCACGATGGCCAAGTGCATGCTGGGACCCCGAGCCACTCTCCAGGAGCTCTGCGACCACCTCAACCGATACCGGGTGATTGCAGATGGCTGGCAGATTACCGACTGAAGGTGATGGCTGAGGCGTTGCCATCTTCTACCCTGACGGACCTGAGCCTCACCTATGCCGAAGCAATCCCCCAGCAGGTACCCACACCAGTGTGTTTGGGAGCCATTCTGGAAGAAGACCCAGAACCCTCGGGGGAGCTCGAGGTCGAGCTGTCTGAAGAGCTCACACTCACTCGGTACTCCTGCTTGGTCACGATGGCCAAGTGCATGCTGGGACCCCGAGCCACTCTCCAGGAGCTCTGCGACCACCTCAACCGATACCGGTTGATTGCAGATGGCTGGCAGATTACCGACTGAAGGTGATGGCTGAGGCGTTGCCATCTCCTACCCTGACGGACCTGGGCCTCACCTATGCCGAAGCAATCCCCCAGCAGGTACCCACACCAGTGTGTTTGGGAGCCATTCTGGAAGAAGACCCAGAACCCTCGGGGGAGCTCGAGGTCGAGTCCCCCGGCGTGGACCTTTTACCCATGCTCCATGCCTTCGATAGCCACTTCCACCTGGACCGGGCCCGTCGGAAGCTGAGACTACAGAAGGACGCTTCAATGAGGGAGGTGGAGGACGCAATACCTGTCACTTCGAAGGAATATGCACTCAGCATGTCTGGAGTGGCGGTATTCTGCGACCCCGATACATATCCTTCTCCGGGGGAGATACCAGAGCTGACCCGGGACGGGTATTTAGTGGCGATAGGAGTGCACCCGAAGCACTTCCTCACCCGTCACAAAAACAGACATTCCTGGATCTTCTACAGGTCCCGGAAGTGGCAGGATTTGGTGAGGTGGGGATTGACCATACCGTTCGTTCCCCGGACCTGTGGTTTCGCCAGGAGCAGCAGTTGCGGAGCTTGCTCCCGTGCACCCGGCCCCGCCAGGCACTCATCCTGCACATCCAGGGACTGAGGGATGACCCGACGGGGCTTGAAGCCTACATGAGGTGCCTGGATGTGGTGAGGAAGATGGTCCCACCAGAGCAGAAGATCCAGCTGCACTGCTTTAGTGGCACCGAAGAAGTGATTCAGGCCTGGCTGACGCGTTTCCCTAACACCTGCTTCAGCGTGTCAAGGATGGTGTCGAAATTCAACGACGCCCAACGCCATGGTGTGAAATGCATTCCATCCACCAGACTCCTAATAGAGACAGATGCGCCCTACTATTCGGTCAGCCCCGAGTTCCCCTGCAGCGCTCCACACTTGGTGGACCATACCGCCCGTCGTATCTCTCAGATCCGGGGGTCATCAGTTTGCCTGGGGTACTGGAGTTGACCGATCGGAACGGAAACAATCTTTTCTGAGTCCCGAGACGCGGGAGCCAGGATTCCAAATTCTAGGGGGGGGGGGGGCGAGGACGGGTAACCCTTAATTACCTTGATCTAGGGGGCCGATACCGGGTAACCCTGGATCACCGGTATTAAACCGAGAGCCTTGCTGGCCGAGGACGGCTGGACCACCGCTCGAATATGACGGGAAAGAGTGTGGTGAAAATGCCTAGTAAGTGCTGGCAAATTTTGAAGCCTGCCATTTTCAAACCGCAAATATTTCATTGCGAAACCTGATTCGTCAAAAACGTCGATAACTTTAAAACTTTTAAACCCGTTTTAAGGAAGAAACACTTCAAACCATAACGAATACGTTTGCAAAGTTCACGTAAATAAGATACGATTTGAATAAATATTTATGAGTATCAATGCATATTTATATGTAACTAATAATCAGTATGTGTGTATGTATGTTAGATTCAGCATGTCGTATTTTCAATACTTATTGCTATACAAACAAGAGGCCTAAGAGGGCCCGATTCGCTCACCTGAATATTGAAGCAGTCATAGCAAAATATTCTCATTAAATATCATATTGCAATAAAACTATTTCCCTCGCAAACTTTGTTGGCTCGATCTGTTGAAACTATCAGCAAAATATTATTATAAGATTCTATGCTTTTTGATTCTTCTTCACAAGTTGCTTGACATATTTTTCCCTGTGACCTTGTAAGTACATGTAGGTCAATGTCATTTTCTTTCTCAAATTGGTGAGCTCTATTCCAAAAAGCTACCAGCCAAATCTTATGAATCCATTTCTTTTAGTTCTTAAGAACAAATCCTTTAAAATGTTGTTGACCTCTGTGACCTCTAAAGTAGGTTGAGGTCATTTTCATTCGCAAACTTTGGTGAGCTCTATCCCAGGAAGCCACCAGCCAAATATTATAATTTTATGCCTTTTAATTCTTCAGAAGAACTAGTTTGGACCGTTTGACATATTTGAACGCTGTGACCTTGAAAGTAAGTCAAGGTCATTTTCATTCGCAAACTTTTTTGGCTCTTTCCCAGGAAATAACCAGCCAAATATTAAGGTTCTATACCCCCCAGTTCTTCAGAAGAAGTCGTTTGAAGTATTTCACATATCTGCCTCATGTGACCTTAAAATAGTCAAGGTCATTTTCATTCTCAAGCTTTGTTGGGGTCTTTCCCAGGAAGCTACAAGCCACATATTTAGGTTCTTTAACTTTCACCTCTTCAGAAGAAGTCGTTTTAAGCATTAGACATATCTGACTCCTGTGACCTTGAAAGTAGGTCAAGGTCATTTTCGTTTTCAAACTTTGTCGGGCTCCATCCCAGAAAGCCATCAGCAAAATATGAAGATTCTATACCTTTTAATTCTTCAGAAGTCGTTTGAAGTTTTTGACATTTTTGACCCCTGTGACCTTGAAAGTAGTCAAGGTCATTTTAGTTCTCAAACTTTGTCGGGCTTCTACCAACAAAGCCTTCAGCCAAATATCATGACTCTAGGCCTGTCCATTCTTCAGAAGTTGTTAGCACTAACGCGTGTCTGCAGGAACAATATTATCATGAAAATCTCGCATGTCATCCATAGCGTAGAATTACACACAAATTGTCGCTTTGGTGCAGCAAACACAAGCGGACCAGACATGTACCAGTTTATATATCAGTTCAACACATGACAATTGTGCATATTACAGATTCATCCCTGATGTTATAAATATTTTGTTCAGTATGTATTTATGCACATTTGTTCATGCCATATAAGGAGCGCAGCAATGTATTGGACCTTGTCATTAATCCGATTCCGAAATGGATGACAAAGTTGTGTATTGTGTGTTTGTTTGTAAATACAACAAAAGGGATAATTGTAAATAGGGAAATATACATGTATCACCATTGACGTCATTTCAAAGAGTGTACGTTTTCAAAATGCTTGGTGTGTTTTCTAAGGATATTTGCTAGACAACAAAATATATTTATCAAACTGTCAATTGTAAACTGCTGCTGATCTCGCCTTATTTCTATATAGAATAAATGTGAAGCTTGCAGCGTACAATGCGTTAACATGGAACATTTTCTGTTTCATGTCGGCTACAGAATCGCCTTTGTCAAGGAACTGATGACAAAAATACATGCTCACTAAAAACTTGATTCATTCAATGTCATATACTTGTGAACAGGCTTTCAATATGGCATACACAATTCCCCCGGACAGAATACGTGGTCTTGGTCTCATATGGATAGGGAATGACTTTCAAGGTAATGGAAATGTGCATAACACAGCATATTTAGTAAGAATAAGATCAAACACTTTTCCTCCTAGAGACAATATGTATTATTACATAACAATAAACAACAGCACCTGCAATAACTCGATTACACGTCTGTCCCTGAGTCATAAGTGATCGAGAACAGAGTCTGCTGCCACCTTAGCCAACATTCAAATAGAGTCTGCTGCCACCTTAGCCAACATTCAAATAGAGTCTGCTTCCACCTTAGTCAGCATTCAAATAGTCTGCTGCCACCTTAGTCAGCATTCAAATAGAGTCTGCTGCCACCTTAGCCAACATTCAAATAGAGTCTGCTGCCACCTTAGCCAACATTCAAATAGAGTCTGCTGCCACCTTAGCCAACATTCAAATAGAGTCTGCTTCCACCTTAGTCAGCATTCAAATAGTCTGCTGCCACCTTAGTCAGCATTCAAATAGAGTCTGCTGCCCCCTTAGTCAGCATTCAAATAGTCTGCTGCCATTTTAGTCAGCATTCAAACAGTCTGATGCCACCTTAGTCAGCATTCAAATAGTCTGCTGCCACCTTAGTCAGCATTCAAACAGAGTCTGCTGCCACCTAAGTCAGCACTCAGAATAGCACGATTTTTATAACCTGACAATACTAATAGAAAAATACACTAACTTTCACTCGAATGACAACCCTCTCATTTTTAAAGGGATTGGTGCCAAGGAATGTGAAAGTATGGAGTAGTAATCAGATATCAGGTACAGTGTTAACTATAGGCCCTTGCTCTTCTTCTAGAAGACATTATCACCATCTGCTTTAAAACACATTGTACACAAACTGATTTGTCAAAAAGTATGATTAAATTCAGTTTCGGCATTGAAATGTCCTCGTATGCATTCTTTGTCATTTAGTCAACATATTTTCAGCATGTGTTTTAAACGTATCAGTTCTTATCACGTGTTTGATTGTATACCTTCTCATGAAATTAATCCAAGTAATTGTGACAATTTAAATTTTCTTTCATAACACAGTCCTTTGATTACAGAGGAAATCGTCACGATTTAAACTGTCTGTAATCACGTGACTGGTTGTCTTCCTCGTCACTCCGCCATGTTTGGATGATGCTTTCCTCGTCTTCCGACATCTCGTACCTAGGTGGATTAAAAAGAAGCACATACAATAAGTACTGTACAGCAGCACAAATCATAACAACAGTGTTATTCGCTGTTATGACTCATTTTTGTATGAAAACATGAAAAGGCAAGCATAGAACATTAAAATATTTTTATATTATAACATATTGAATTATTTTCAAAAATGACAAATTGCAACAAATCATAACTATTGCCTGTACTATAAGCAAAGTCGAAATGAGCTGTAACTATTTTCAATACAACAACAAATTTGACAATAAACTGAGCATCGTAAACAATATCAGGGAATACACAGGTTATCTTGTCAGTAGTGCCTGGTTACGTATCACTCACGCAACTATGGTTTTATCTAAATCCATATGTAAGAATGAATTCAGACGGTAACATAGACATTGATCCGTATACATCGACACACGAAGTCGTTTGAAGTTTTCATGAAGTTTTGAATGATGTCTGATATAAATATATACAGCACTTACGCCTTCAGAGTAATAACAAAGATATTGCTATAACAAGAGTACCGCGGGGCGGAACAATATACGCCCGTCCAATGCCATATAGTGTTATATACTTTTTTCTTACATTGAAATAAGATCTGCATCATTCTAAGATTGACTAGCTGACATGCTATAAAAAATGTAGGAGAAAATCTCCGGACAAAAAATCAAATACTGAAATGAACAAAGGGAAATAACTTTTGCAAAAAGTTTCAAAGGGATCGGTTGAAAAATGTAGGAGGAGATTGCCGGACAAAAATCAAATATTGAAATAAACAAAGGGCAATAACATATCATAATAATTTATTCTACTAAGTTTCAAAGAAATCCGTCAAAAAATGTAGGAGATCTCCAGACAAAACACTTTTGGAAAAATTGTCGAATCAAAATTCACAACTTCATATCATGATTATAATGTATACCAAGTTTCAAAGAGATCGGCCGAAAAATGTAGGAGGAGATTGCCGGACAAACAAAAGTTTACGCCGGACGGACGGACGGCAAACCCCATACCATAATACTTCCGTCAAATTTGACGGGCGTATCAAAATGGCATGACATTAGCACACTCTCATACCAGGACCTTTGTATGATTTTTGATCCAAATCCGTTCAGCAAATAGTGATTAGAATGGTGGCAAAGATATATTATAAATAACCACCTTGGCTTTACTAGGTAGGTACATGTACGGACGTACAAATTTGATTTGTCTATCCCATTTACGACACAATGACGAGGTGATAAATATATTATATAATAATTTGAAAACATACCAGGCCTTGTCATTATCTCTTGCTTCATCGGCATCCTGCAAGTATATAATATGAATATGTCAGATTTTTGTTTATATATGTTAAGTTATTATTTGCAAAGAGGGAGTTCTGAGTGAAAATGACAATATTTGTGACGTCAAACTTTAAGAATTACACCTCTGAAACAGCAACATTTTGATGATTCGTTATAAAAACATATTTGTTATAAAAACTCAGTCATAAGAAACGGATACTTACTGTCAATGAAACCTCGTCCCAACGTTTCTCCTGTTTTTCTGTCGTCCGTCCAAACTCGCCCGCTGTCCGCCCATAACTGTCTAGAAACTCTGACTGTGTCAGTTCACTAGGTCCCTGTATGTCCTCCTCACTGAACAATTTGATCTTTGACCTCTGTCGGTCTTTAATCTTTCCGTTGCGAAGCGAGTCTGATTTGGCCTCTTGCTGGTTGTATCGATGGTGACTTAGGCGAAGATCTGGGTTGTGTATGTAAGACGGGTCCGGTCTGACCCGTCCTCCCAGTCTCCGTCCACTAGCTGTTACCACAGTCTCAACCAGGTCAGTCCGTTCTGTGTTAAACCGTTTCATAGCTTGCAAGTGTTGGGAAAGTCGGTGTTCCCGCAGCACCTCATCTGGAGCGTCCTCGTTTTCTAAATTAAGCACCACGTTGTTGCCAGAAAAAGTATCGTCGTCGTCGTAATATTCATCCTCCTCATCTTCATCTGCTCTTCTGTGACGCCACCTTGGAGCACTGTGCCGTGAATCTTCCCACCAATCAGATTCCGAGTCACTCGATTCTGCACTTAATGTTTCAACACGTGATGTCCAATCCGAGGTCCGTTCAGTTCCTGTTATACCAGAAGTCAGTGTTAGCGTATTTGAACAAACTGACTCTTGGTCGGCACGAGGAAACATTCGGTCTTGAAGCTGCCGTGAACTGTATCTAGATGCATACAAAGGAGCATCACGTACCACAAGCTGTTTTTCGCGATGCTGTTCTGGTGGACGATTTGTGGGTAACACGTTGGAGAATTTCACTTCTTTTTCTCTAGGTTTCACTGTATTTGATGGAGCTACTTCTGACACATCAGAAGTTTCTTTAGACCTAGCACTTACTGTCGTGCATGGTGGACGCACGTGTTTCTGTTTCTGTATCTGAACATTTGTGTTAATAATTGGTCTTGACAAAATTGTGCCAATGATGCTGTCAATATCACCTGGAACATTTTTACTTGAAGGTAAAATTTTCTGTACCTCTTCAGCAACTTTCGATCTGTAATCATATGAAAACATTAATTAAAGCATGACACAATTTTTGAATAGGATTAATTAAACATTTAAGTATTGATATCCACAAATGATTTAATGATGGTAATGCTTCACACTGGGAGCATCTTAAACTATGTTGTTTGAAACATATATAAAATGTACTAGAGAATAGATTGGCATTTCTTTAACTTACATGAAGGATGTCGACGAGAGTTCATTGCCGACATTCTCACTTTCGCCCTCCAATCGATCAGAGTCTAAAGTGAGCTTAGAGAAGTCATTCAGCACTTTCGACAACAGTTCACTGGTGCTGGCCAGGGGAGAGAACTCAAACAGGTCCTGCAGGCGCTCTCCCTCTGCCCGGATATTGTCCAGCTGTGTCCTGTGGAGCCAAAAACTTGCATTACTATGTTTTGTTCAACAGTGTGCTTTCCTTTTAAGTTTCAACATTAAAGAGCAGGAGTAAACAGTTTGTTATAAATCAAAACGAGTGTAAAGGCAAGACTCTGGGAGAGCTATTGAAAGAGGTGTGTATGTATAAATGTGTACTTTCACATTGGACCTAGCAAGAGTGAAGGCAGGGCCACTACTTCATGGAAAAATGTATGAATTCATCATTTTGGACTTTTATTTTCGGTTAAATATCACTCGTATACACAACTACAAACATACATGAATGTCTGATTCGATGAATGAAATCGGTCTAGATTGATTAACTTGTTTGAATGTCTGAAAATCCCACTGCTTAAAATGAATAAGATATTATTAAATTGTGTTGAAAAAGGAGTTATTTAATCTCCAAAGTGTCACGGTGTTAGCTTTTACTACGAAGTTTCCTCTCCTCACGCTTAATGTATCGTAGTTTGACAAAATTAACGACATGGCATTAAGTGTTAAGCTGTCTGGTTGGTACCTCAACTGTCCGCCATGTTCCGTGTCCATGCCATCCAGCAGTCCCTCCACCTTGCCATAGAGATTGGTCAGACTCTCGGTGATAGTTAATTGTGTTTCCGCACTGGTGGTCAGTGTGTCCAGCACGTTTTTCTGATGGCACACAAGACGCTGTTCCAACTGTAATTTTACCGACATTATTATTAACAGGTCATTCGCACCTTCTGCTTCTTGCTCGAATTCAAGTTTTGTCACTTCCTCAAATTGAAAAACGGGGATGTGAGAACAATAATAATTAAGCACCTACTTCCATGTCGCACAAAGAATTAGAATTAGTTTATTTCCTAATGAAATACTGATGGAGGCCATTACATTTTAGCGATAGGTCCAGTCATGTTCTAGGAGCAAATTATTATACATTTACTAACAAGTTAAGGTATCGTGTGTTATAATCTCCCGCCTACTCAATGTGGAATGGATTAATTAAATTCCATCTGATACTATTCCTCAAAATAAGTTTATCCTAACCACACTAGTTGTTTTGTGGTTTAGAGTTGTGAAAAAACAACTTATAAAGTATTGACGGAACCTAAAATAAATATACCTGTTCAATGGCACTTTGAGTGGTTATCCTGCTTGATCGAATTCTGAAATAGAACATAAGAAACGGTAACACAACGCACACCACCTGTATTTAGATGAAAAATGATCGATTCAAAACATTCAAACGTTTCAACTCTTTCCAAACTAAAATAGTAAATGTTCTGATGTTTACAGGTCTGTCTGATAGATTCATCTTATATTTGATTGTGACTAATTTAAAGACTGTAATTATGGTCTTATGTTACCCAATTAGCCATCTTGTTTGTAGTACACACCTGTTGGCAGTAAGGCTGTCCGCCTTGTGGTCCCGTAACAGACATTTACAACACTGGTGGAGAAGCAGGAAGTGGTAGCACGCCATCTGATGATGTTGCACGGCCACATGCAAGGGATGTAAACCTTCAGCGTTCTCTGTCCAACCTGAGAAACCTTGCTCTATCAGCACCTGTAACAGATGGAGGTTTTCATTGTAGTATCCCTCGCGATTAAGCTTCGACGGGGACGGTAATTATTTCCGTAGTAATTATTTTTCAGCTTAACAGTGGATATACGACTTTGCAATTTCATTACCACATTTTCTTTCGAATGCATCTTTTCAATATTTATGATGGTTTGCACGTTCAAAACAGCAAGGAAAGTATCATGTCATTTGGTTACTGTCACATGTTAACCTGTTTTACCAAACGATGGAAGGGTTATTTTATCTCTCTTGTTTTGGATAAATATGGTCGTGTTTTATTAAGTTACCATTTCCCTCATCCGACAAAGGTAAATTGGAAACTATAAATGATTCTCCACTTCATTTCAACAAAAGTATTGGTCCCCGAAAATGCATACAGTTTTGACAAGGAAGACTCGGAGTTTGAATTGAAAATATTTACATGCTATAGTCATATGCGTTATGGTTTCATAACAACATTTTCATTCTGTCAGTTCATTAAGAGACTAAACACCGGAAATAAAGAACATTAACAGCAAAACATCAGCAGATAATTTACCCAACTGTCTTATTTGGTATATTCCTAACCATTTTGGGATTCTGAGTGTTAGGACAGGATCTATGGAAACCATCTGGTAAAACAAACTTCCATTGTGTGACTTCAAATGTTCAGGGAAATCAAAATTGTGGGATAGTTAGACACTGATTACCGAGATGTCACCTATTATCTCCCAAATCTTTATTACAACTGACACTGATTACCGAGATGTCACCCATTATCTTCCAAATCATGATTGCAACTTACATGTAGACACGTCACGTGACCATGGGCTGCTGCGACATGCGCGGCTGTGTCACCGCCCCTGTTCTTAGGTAAAGTCAACTGCCCCCCTCCATCCCTGGACAGGAAGCTGAGCAACTTCTCAAGACAGCCACACTGTGGATAACAAATCACCTTTACAATAAACTTTATGTTTAGTTTAGTTTAGTTTATTTTTTCAAACACTTGATATGGGTAACAACATGTACCAACTCATTTAAATAGATGTTCCCGAAAATGTAAGATATGTTGAAATTAAATTATGACTACATTGTGTTCAATAGATTTAGTTTTGCATTGTGTTGCACTGTACGGTTTTAACTTTCTGTACTGAACGACGTGGCAGGGACTGAAAGTAATGTTTTGGGGTTTTGTTGTAGTTATGCAATATAGCTTGTTACAATAACTAACAAATGCATTCGGTTATGATCAAGGTTGGAAACAGTTTAATTTACAATACAGTACTTACCTCTCCCTTCTTTGCCGCTACTTCCAGCAGTTTGCTTACAATCCCTGACGGTGGCGCCTCATCGCCGTACTGTAGTTTGAATAGTGCGCTCATGGCCGTTTCCTTTCCAGACTTTGTTGAAAATAAAGAAAGAATAAAAACAAATGTCAAACGAGGTGGAAAAGATATGGATGATACATCAAACGGTAAAATTCACAGGTGCAACATTTCGCATGGTCCTTCCTATACCCTACATTCACCTTTGTGATGGCCCAAGCACTATATTATTTGACAACAAAGTACTCATTATTTTCATCCTAAGAAGAGGGTGATGCTCTGTGTGAAAAAAATATCTCGGATACAAAAAGATGTCGAGAAAGGATGTGTCCATGTCTGATCACTATTAACCATGTCCTACGGTTTCTGTGAACAATCACCAGTGATCACAGATTAGAAATAAAGTTTATGTCTTCGGGTAGCTCAAAATATAAGAGAAATGAGTTGGCAAACAATAATTGATAATTAAATCGTAAACCTCAAACACAACTGATGACATCAAAACACCACACTATCCACAATGAGAACTTGGAAATTATTAAGTCTTAATATCATCACATACAATGTAATACGGTGATTATATTTCGCAAGAATCAATGAGCCGTTTATGAAGGAACTATATAAATACGAATCTTGGAAACTGATTTTACAAAGTAACTTGAAATACAACACAATCAAAAGTGATTCCTTTATAATTGCTTTCTTGAATAGTTAAGCAACAAGATAGTCGAACTATTAGGGGTTGCTATCCCCCACATTTTGGCTACAGACTAAAACAATCCGAAGCAACTGTTTTTGCACATATCTATTATCTTTAATCCTTAAGTCACACGCAAAGACAACTGGCAAGAGTGATAGGAATTGACAAGTTCATACTGCCCCTTCAGCAAATAAAGGAAGTATAAAATTCACATTAGACCTTTAATTTAAATACCACACGAGCATATCTAGATTATGCACGTGGCGCACCAACCCCCTTTGAAAATAAGTTTCTGGATGCTTTAATGCCTAATTTGTTTTCAGTCACCAAACAGTACAACATACAGCAGATGTTAAAGCTACCTGTACAGAGACGTCTAAGGCAGATAGCCGATCATAGTTGAGATCATATATCAGTTCTGGAAACCGAGTTCCGAGTTCGGTGATAACTTTAGCCTTGTCAACCATTCCTGCCCTGTGTAGTAGTGTGTTTCCCTGGCCATCCCTAAGCTTCATAAGTCGCCCCTCCGGCCATGACGTCAGCGTCTGAATCTGGAAAGATGGCAATTATGAAATATGTATTGGAAATGTCCTGTGTTAATACAATGAAAGACATCTGTTGGAACGTTCTGGAAATAATTTCCTGGACATAAAACCAAAGACACTGTTAACTGATCTGTAGTTACATTGAAGTAAATCGCTCTATATACATAACGATAATGTAGTAACCCATCATCAAAGTACATATGGAATGTACTCTTGGTTGACGCTAACATCTGAATTCTATGAGCATCACATTTTAATGTAACCTCGCTAGTATCACCACCAATTCGATACATACAAGAACACTAACACTTATTAGCACTGACGTATGTTTGGTTACAAATAGAGCAAACAGAAACCTAGACCAGGGACATTGTTTAGTGTACAACTTACAATCGTATCCTCATCCTCCTCTACATCAATGATGGAGAACCAGTATTTCACCTCCTGTTGAGAAGACGACTTTGATTTTCGGGAGTCCACTGATCCCTTTATTGATCCACCTGAAGATCCTCCTTTTACCCTAGGGAGAGGAGGTAGCTTGCGAGGGGAACTTTGGCTGCGTGACGCCTCTTCTCTGCTGACCTTGACCCCAATCGCTGTTTCGTCTCCTTGAACATCGCTTTGAATGTCTACAGTGTTGGCGTTCTTGTTTTGATCTTTGACCTTTGGTTTACGGTGAAAGAGGCTCCCTAGTTTTGACTTCTTAGAGTCGCTCGATTTAGCATCGTCGTCACTTAGTATATGGTTGTCATGGATACCATTAGGTATGTGTTTCTTCTTTAGTTTATTGGGTCGTGGTTGAGATTGTCTGTATTTGGAATTCTAAAAACAAAAGTTTCATGAATTGTGAACAAATGGATGCTTAACACATTATATTTGTAATTTAAAGGGGCTAATTAGTAACATATGCAAGCTCTCATGAGAAATAACTGAATAAGGAGGACTAATTATAATAATGTCCAAAGGCGTACTGAAATGTGTCAGTAAATATTTCTGGGAGAAAACATACAATGGTAAATGTTAAATGACTGCTAGTTATGAACGGTTCACTTGGAACAGCGAATAAAAGTTTCTTGTAGTAGGGGTACCACGGTGTAGGTATACAGCTTGGGGGTAAAACTCGTTAGTTATTACAGTAGTCTATAAGCTTTACCAGACATGTAATTTTGGTATCAGTACTCACGACGGGAGCAGGCGCACTGTTGAAGTTGTCAGAGGCGAAGCACTCGGAAATACTATCATCAATCGGAAATTCTCTCACAAAGTTCTCAAAATCCTGGTCCGTCACCAAAGCAACGTCAACAAAGCTGTCGTTACTCACTTCCGTTTTCTCAGAATCAGAGTAACGCTCCTGCATAGACTGTATGGTGAGGATATCTGTAAGGATAAGTTAACAATGGCGTGAAGGATGGGGATAGTCCGATACTATGAAATCATCGGGATGAGAGGTAACATAACCTCCATGTAACGATCAAGGTGTTTGTCTGGAACATCTGAAATGCTTGTTGAGTATACAAATGTATGTGTCGTTGGTATTGACAATATATGCGGACTAGTTTACTATGCGCTAATTTTAGTATTTCTTTACAATGGCTATAGAGTATGCTGATGATGTATGTAATATACTGAGATATACAAATAATGTATACTGCGACTACATGTATATACGTCAAAGACGAGCAAGGTTTATAGTAATGTGATGATAGATTATATAGTGAAGGTACGTAAAACATTGAAAGTATGACCATTTACTTTGTACACACGTGTTGTACCTACCGAACAAAGCCTCTGGGTTATCGTCCAGGGAAGCCATGTAGGGGTCCATACCGTTACCAGTCGGAGATCGGAGAAAGGCGTCAAAGCTAGAGTCGGGACTGAGGGAGCTTCTGCTGCTGGAGGACGTGTGCAGGAGGCTGTTGAGGATAGAGATACTGTTATTTGTGGTGTTCAAGTTGTACATGTATATTACCGTTAAGAGTGTCGTGACAACCATACAAGTCTGACCACACAACAGGTTCATTATCAATCACCTTGTAAGTGTTCTCGGCATATATTATAATATTAATACTGTTGCACTCCTTAAGTATACTGATCATTCAGACCTACAGATCGCAAATCCTTTTACGGATGCATGCTACCTCACAGTTTACGGGTGCATGCTACCTCACACAGTTTACGGGTGCATGCTACCTCACACAATTTACTTATGTGTTTTGTTACAATTATCTCTGTTAAATGTCTTTTTGTTTTTAATTTGCATTGTGTAATAATTCGAACTTATCTGGATTTATCAATGCGTACATTTTATGACCTGTGTTGAACTCTTCCGGATAAAAGGGTCATATCATAATTACAAGGTAGCATACATCCTTAAATAGGGCTAATGATCCCATAACAAATGCCGAGGAGGACCAGCAGTAACAAGCATTGTAAAGGATTTAACATGTCACCATGCATTGCATCCTTATTAAGGACATATAAATCATACATAAACTTAAGGAATTACACATCATAACACTATAATAATTATATAAGGTAATACACATCTTATCATAACACTAGCTACATGTATATAATACACACACTATCATAGACTAAACCCCATGTTGAAATTAAACCTTGATGAATCGTGATAAATAGCATTTGCATTGCCCCCTGTGACAAACGTGTCTAGTTATTACCGAGATATCAGACATTGGAGATCAATGGTGAGGTAGCGACTTGTTTCTGGGGTCGATGTTTGTTGAGGGGACAAGCTATTTACCATAAGAACGCCCCACGCGTATTGTAAATCCCGATGTCTTATTGTGAAAACGATATAGGAATGTAAAGAATTCAAATCAATGAAATAGATGACACAGAATGTGTGTATATGAGTGATAGACATCTCGTCAGAACGTCGTATGTACACCTTATAGATACAACCACATCAGTCAATCGACTCTTATTTAATTGACAATTTCTGGAGAGTTTTCTCATATGTTTGATACATCTTTAACGAGTCATTTTAATGAGACTATACAAGTTGAGGGAAACGTATTGATCTCATGGGTGGCACACTGTAAACAGTAATGTGACTCAGCCCGAGTATTTTAAGTCACTGGGGTGAATAGCGTTGTCCCTTCAAAATAAGTAATCAAAAACGTAAGTGAATTAGTTTTTTGGTGTGAAGTTTCACAGGTGAATACTTGTGTTCATGTGTGTTTCATAAACAGATCAACTGAAGTATGAAATATGTAATATCGGGTTAATTGCAACGTTTTTTCCCGAATATCGGATCCTACAGGATGTGATATGTATACTGGTACGTTTGATCTGCTCGTAAAAAACGTATGACCAGGGGCCTGCTGTAACTTTGGTCGGCTGAAACTCAAAATGATAAATGCCACCGCTTTAACATAATACTTCCTAGTCCAAATCGCCATTTTTACTTCGTGTTAAAGATATAATAAACCCACCAGCATAGCGTGACCCCGTACATTGAAGTTCCGTATAAACACCGTACTTTGTTACAGTGACTAGCTGTACTGCAATGTCTTTATTTACTGCAGGGCATAGGGGACACACGTATCGAACGTTTCCACGTTCTACTGACAAGTAGAAAACGTCGGACTCGCGAATTACTATAAGAGTCATCGTACACTTGACTCCTTCGGAATGAAACAATAGCGTCTTGTCACGTTGATTAGACGGTCATCATGTGATTGTAGGCCATTGGCTGAACTGTTGTCGACGTTTAACAATCATCGACTACTGTATTTGTTTCTTAAAGATTATCTGGAATTATTTGATCCGCCGTCATTATCGGAGGACGAGCCTTTGCAAAAGGTTGTCCATCCTCCAACAGACATACATTTCGGACAAACATGAAGAGATGTTGATTCTTTCCTTAACGGTACAGAACAAGAACTGGTAATTTAGAATCAAGATAATAAATACGACAGCGTAAAGTAACGTGCTCTTGTCACCGACATGCCAGGACGTTTCGGTGAGAAAGCCCTGTATAAAAGAGACGTAACTCATCCTAGGTGGCACATTCCGTGTCGTGGACCAATGAGTGAAACACTTAAAGAAATGTCTGCGTACAGTTTAGACAACAAGTTAGGGCTTCACACATTCCTGCACGGAAACTAATATGTAGCACTTGCTCCTAATTTGCACAACTAATGCAATATCAACAGTGCATCACAATATTCTTTAGTGCGAAGGTTGGAAATTGCAACATGTAGCACTTGCTCTTAATTGGTATATAACTAATGATAAGTACATCAACATATTCAACATATTTCACTTTTAGATGTAACTTAAGTCAATAACAACGGTGTGAAAGAATGATGAATTGCACTGTTCACAGTTGCCACACCGAGTGTTTCGTACAATTCCGTGTATATCTATGCCGGGTCTCCATACAGCCCGACTCTTATCAGATTAGTGATAACATCTAGGGAAGTACTGTCCATTGTTTTGTAGAGAAATTAAGACGACATCCACACAAAGTCACAAACCTCAGACAACTGATTTGTGATAGTCTCCCGTTTACACACCGGCGATACATTTACCAATGAAAATGATTCATCGAAAAGGTATTTTTCGGAGGAAAAAGTCCTGCCAAGCATGGAAGAGCGAGTGTGTTGTCTAATGCTAGTTTACGCGACCGAAATCAATTTATTGTATTTACTTTTTATTTTGGATCAAAAGCAAATTTAGTTAATTATATAAATAGGTTTGTGATCACTAAACCCTAAAGGATCAATGAATGTTGCTAATCAGTGACAAGTTTGAATATGCATTAACAAAGGAATGGAGTATGATAATTTGTCACTTCGGAAGGAGGTACAAAGGGATCGAGAAATATTAAATAATCATTAGTATTTAGCAAAGTTGACATAACTGATTTTTATTATATTCCTTTTTCTTTTTACGAAATGCATAAACTAGTATCTTGATGAGATATGGAGAATCAGAAGGTTATCATTCATCAATGTTGTTAAGATGTATAGATGTACAGATACGTCTTATACATGTTTGCGTCTTAGGTTTAACGGGAAAGTGTTGGTCGTAACTTACATGACCAGTGTACTATTTTTCAAAAACAAAAATTGGGCAAAAACCGAATAGTCTACATGTATAAACTATATAGTGTTCATATGGTTTAACTGCAAGGCACTCTTTCTTCTTCGTCACCAACAAACTATGCATATCATAATTTGACTGATAAACTGATAATGCCGAACTCATAGTCATCATCATTTAGGGAGAACAAATTGGTAATTAATTCCGTCCGACATATATGTATATACGAGTAGTAGACACACATATCTACTGAAGATATAGAATACTAAACTAATTGTTTTCAACAAAAATAAAAATAATTACTTTCTAGAGTACGCAAATTATTTCAGATCTAAAAGAGGCTGTTTATCAGTGGTTCATAGAGACGGCCTCTTTTATCAGTGCTTTATACATTTATTTTGCGTAAATAACCCTTTGTTTTTATGAAAATGTTTAGATTCGTGCGTTAGATTATTATGTATTATATTTCTAAAATAGCAATGATTTATTACCTAAAGTTATGAAATGAGCCACGTTCTCAATCACTGCTCACATACAGTTTCCCCTTGTTTTGTTAATTAACATTGTTGGCAATGCATCCGTACGATATTATACCTTAACATGTTATACGGGGAGGGTTACAAACCTGCTGTACGTTATACGGGGAGGGGAAAAACCTGCTATACGTTATACGGGTTATTACCTAAAGTTATGAAATGAGCCACGTTCTCAATCACTGCTCACATACAGTTTCCCCTTGTTTTGTTAATTAACATTGTTGGCAATGCATCCGTACGATATTATAACTTAACATGTTATTCGGGGAGGATTACAAACCTGCTGTACATTATACGGGGAGTGTAAAACCTGCTGTAAGTTATACGGGGAGGGGTAAAACCTGCTGTACGCTATACGGGGAGGGTTACACACCTGCTGTACGTTATACGGGGATGGTTACAAACCTGCTGTAAGTTATACGGGGAGGGGTAAAACCTGCTGTACGTTATACGGGGAGGTGTAAAATCTGCTGTAAGTTATACGGGGAGGGGTAAAACCTGGTGTAAGTTATACGGGGAGGGGTAAAACCTGCTGTAAGTTATACGGGTAGGGTTACAAACCTGCTGTACGTTATACGGGGAGGGTAACACACATGCTGTACGATATACAGGGACGGTTACAAACCAGCTGTAAGTTATACGGGGAGGGTTAAAACCTGCTGTAAGTTATACGGATAGGGTTACAAACCTGCTGTAAGTTATACGGGGAGGGTTAAAACCTGATGTAAGTTATACGGGGAGGGTTACAAACCTGCTTTACGTTATATGGGGAGGGGTAAAACCCGATGTACGTTATACGGGTTGGGTTACAAACCTGCTGAACGTTATATGGGGAGTGTAAAACCTGCTGTACGTTATACGGGGAGGGGTAAAATCTGCTGTAAGTTATACGGGGAGGGTTACAAACCTGCTGTACGTTATACGGGGAGTGTAAAACCTGCTGTACGTTATACGGGGAGGGGTAAAACCTGCTGTAAGTTATACGGGGAGGGTTACAAACCTGCTGTACGTTATACGGGGAGTGTAAAACCTGCTGTACGTTATACGGGGAGGGGTAAAACCTGCTGTAAGTTATACGGGGAGGGTTACAAACCTGCTGTACGTTATACGGGGAGTGTAAAACCTGCTGTACGTTATACGGGGAGGGGTAAAATATGCTGTAAGTTATACGGGGAGGGGTAAAACCTGCTGTAAGTTATACGGGGAGGGGTAAAACCTGCTATACGTTATACGGGGAGGGTTACACACCTGCTGTACGTTATACGGGGAGGTTACAAACCTGCTGTTCGTTATACGGGGAGGGTTACAAACCTGATGTACGCTATACGTGGAGGGTTACAAACCTGATGTACGCTATACGGGGAGGGTAACACACTTGCTGTACGATATACAGGGACGGTTACAAACCAGCTGTAAGTTATTCGGGGAGGGGTAAAACCTGCAGTAAGTTATACGGGGAGGGTTACAAACCTGCTATACGTTATACGGGGAGGGGTAAAACCTGCTTTACGTTATATGGGGAGGGGTTAAACCTGATGTACGTTATGCGGGTTGGGTTACAAACCTGCTATACGTTATACGGGGAGGGGTAAAACCTGCTTTACGTTATATGGGGAGGGGTTAAACCTGATGTACGTTATGCGGGTTGGGTTACAAACCTGCTGAACGTTATATGGGGAGGGGTAAACCCTGATGTACGCTATACGAGGAGAGTTACAAACCTGCTGTATGTTATACGGGGAGAGTTACAAACCTGCTATACGTTATACGGGGAGGGGTAAAACCTGCTATACGTTATACGGGGAGAGTTACAAACCTGCTGTCAGTCGACTTTGGTATTTGTCTCCTGTACTTGGGTCCAAATCGCGCATAATCCTCATTCTCCACCATGCACGTGTATCGAAGATATTTCATTATAGATTGCATTTTAAACTTTTTTCATCACACAGAAACATCCACTCTTGATGTATAAAAACGTCCTATGATGTCACGTTTTGAACCCCGCGCTAAAATCACTACATTCACCCACCCTTGTGGCCATTCCGGTAACCTTTCCGTGTAGTGTCAGTCCTCCACCAGTGTTGTGACTAATGTAGACATACGGATGGCTGGGTATATATTACTCGTGTATAAACACGAGGTACAGAGCTTCCTTTGTGTGACCCTGGTAATAGCTAAATTCATTTTTCGTATTGTACATATAGTACAAATGTAGCTAATCCACAGCTTTCTCCGCACTTCTTATAACAGTGTTTTCATGGCCGATACATGCCAGTACTGTTAAGTCATTCACACACTACGGTGTTTCACTGATGCGACATACTTTAAACCCACCAGTTCATCCCTATGTAAGCTTCTGTTTGTCCCTAATCACTGTTGCTTATTTACCTGCTAACGAGCAAGCCGACACCAATACGTCATGACCCAAGTCGGTGTCAAACATTAAACTGGTAACGCCCCTTACATGTCCCCTCCCCACATTCAGTGGTAGGTACATTGTATCAAAGGCCTCGTGTCGCCGCGGTGACCTCTGGAGTGTTTGCAAACTAAGAGATTTTCAAACAAACACATACACGTTGTAGAAGTGGTGTGTCCACTGAAAACCGACGTTATCCGGCTATCGGATGTCCACAAGTGTGAATTAACAGCTTAGTTCCCACGTCAAGGTTGACCGGTGACCTCTCCTTTTTGATCCCGATCGTCAAACTGTCATATAGTAGTCGTACGTTAAATAGACAGTCCAGTAAAGAGTCAAACTGACCAGCAGAACGGACTAATCCTCAAACAGTCGTTAAATGACCTTTTACCCCATGTCCACAAAAGTACGATATTAAGAAAAAAAATGTTTTGTCGGTTGACCGTATTCACACATCACTATAACGTAAACATTCTTAACAACTTATTGGGAAACCGCTGTAATTTTACCGGTTTAACTTTCACGGCATTTAATAAATATCCGCAGGTCTCTATCCTCGCCAGTCCCTGAATTTAATCTGCCTGTGTGACAGTACAAACAAATCAGACCGAGTATTGTACTCGTCAAGTAGTCTTTTATATCTATGAAAATATCTCAAAATCCAATCTCGTTGAAGTATATCAAACTCTCTATCCACGACCTTAGGTCAAGCACGCCATTTAAACCCATGGTCCTACTTCCGTCTGTTAGTAAAGAACGGAGACAGTTTCAAAGATTTATATCTCGTCTGTCAGGTGACGTAGGTAAACCCGATGAAGATGAATGTTGGTATGACCTATCTACTGTACCAACAGAACTATAAAAGTTCTTTGCATTTATAATAGTAGTCAATTATACGGGAGTGAAGTTTCCCTAATGTGCTAGATTTTGTCTCGACAGCACAGTATATATATATACACTGTTATATGTACCACGCCTCCGAGATTACTTCAAACCAAGCCCCTAATTAGACATAGACAAGGTAAACGATTTGTATTTTAAATGAGTTATGGCAATCCAAGTAATGTGTTATACCGAATAGAATAAGTACTACACGTAGGGATAACGTGTACCTTGTCCTTAGACTTAAACTATTACACTTCCTAATACACACTTACACCGTCCATCAATATATGGACTTACACCGCCGATCAATATATGTACTTACACCGCCCATCACTATATGGACTTACACCGCCTATCAATATATGGACTTACACCGCCCATCAATATATATGGACTTACACCGCCCATCAATATATGAACTTACACCGCCCATCAATATATGGACTTACACCGCCCATCAATGGCTTGTTAAACATCCTAAGTAAACATCCATGAACTAAAATTCTTAAATTTTAGTTTTTAAAGTAGTAATTTCACGGAATCAAATACCAAGATTTTTGCGAAACCGTTTATCTTTGTTTTCTGCGCTAAAAGATCGAATTCGTTATCCCTCAGACGCGTGTACTATACTGTATGCTATTCAAGCATCTGGAGTACCCAGATAAATACTAAGGATGCGCTGCAATAAAATGGATTTATTCTTTAATCAATAAATTCCAATATGGACATACACCGCCCATCAATATATGGACATACACCGCCCATCAGTATATGGACATACACCGCCCAACAATATATGGACTTACACCGCCCATCAATATATGGACTTACATATTCTGTTGATATTGATGCGTTTATACATGTAGTTCATCAGTTTTTAATTCTACATATACACTAGCAAGTGTCAAATACCGATGATAATTTGTTAAAGCCTTTTTCTACAGGAATGTAAACAAAATCGGCGGGACTCTACCGACCACGTGGGCCCTGGGTAATCCATGTTGTATGTAACCTCCGGGATAGATTACAAAAGACAACTTCGCCAAACGGCCAAAGGGTCATTCAGCAGGATACCAAACGCTTGGACAGAAATCCACAATATCCTTAGCGCACCTGTAAGGGTTGCGAATTCCCTTCACGGGCAGTGCTCACTACAATCTACTCGCCCTGTACCTACCACAATATTGTCAATGGAAGTCCCACAAAAACCAGTGACCTTTGACCTCCGACATACCATACACTCCGTGTAATAGATGTTCGTGGGTTCAGATATCACCGTTTAAAGTCTGTACACATTGTTATCCCCGGTAACACGCTTTACTGGGTTTGACATGACAACAATATCAGAAAACTCACTAAAATCCATTAGAGAAAGTGAGTGAAAGTGTTGGACAATTTCGCGGCTTCCTCTAATAACACTTTAATGAGGTGACATGAATCTGGCATACCTGTATGTATCATGCTCCATTAGGCAGGTACTGAAGCTTCTGGAGGAAGACATGTGAAGGCTCCCCGGTACAAACTACTTATTTGCGTCCTCGGGACAGACGTGCTCATGTTACATGTATACGTAGTTCCTTTTAGGGTTTCGGGACATAGAATTGAAGCGTTCGCGTGTTTCTCCGCCCCGCCACTCAAGGAAGACAGAGTGAACGATCCCGGTATCGCGAGAGAAATGGTAACGGTGTACAGTCTAGTACTTTAGCAATGGAAAGGGTAACGACTTTTAATTGTAACGGGGATGCTGCATTAGTCCCCACAAACTGCCCTTGTAGTCACAAATGATGCAATGGAAAGAATTTGCATACATGTGGTACCGTTGGCGGTACCGTTGGCATCACCTTGGCGAGCACCTGTCAATTACCGGCGGCCATGTTTGATGACCGAATGAAAATAAAACACGTTACACACATCTACACGTTTCTTATAGCAAGGTCGTAGTTTCTGAGAAGAAAAAGCACAAACCGTTTAATGAAAGAAAAATAATAAAGAAAATAAAGAAGAATTGAAAATAAGGAACGCAGAAAAAGAAGCATGCGTGTGTGTTTTGTTTGTTTGTTTGTTTTTTGTGTGGGTGGGGAGAGAACTTAATTAAGGAATATTGGAGTATTTTTCCCTCGGATCACATACGAATGGGTACTAATTCATACGTCGCGATCGGAATTATCACATAAATTTTGCACCAAAAATTTCTGTTTTACTTTTGCCCTCATATTCAATTTAACGTATTTTGAGATAGTCACTTCACTTCCTTTCTTAATAACGTCACACATACCAATTTTATGTCGAGTAGTTAGATGGTGGTGCGCGATGAATTGTTTGAAATGAAAAACCCGCAGTTTCTAATAATCTGAAGTAAACCTTTTAACATTACAAGAGTTACTTCCCTTCACAAAGTAAATAGGAAATGTAATATGCCTTTTCATTATGTTTCGCCCTAGTTGCATGCGTCGTATACGTACACAACCGATTATATATGACGATAAATGTCAATGTGACAGCATTCTTACGTGTACTCATTTAAGTCGAAAATTATGGATACGATCTTTTAGTAAAGAGGGCACTTTAATCCTTTTAAACCTTTTGTTCTCGGCAAGGGGAGTGTTGAATTGCTTTATAATGTGTCAAAGTACTGTATACCTATACAATACACCCGTATAGCCGATTCTGTATGTGTACACACCTACAAGGCTACTATACCGTGGACACCGTCAGGCAACTAACACGACAGTTCCAGTACGTTTTATAGGCATACTGTAGGATCCTAGATCGCTTCTTTAATATCATCTTTAAGCAACAGATATATTCACGGAGTAGATAAATGACTACGTTCTATCGAGATTGTATTGTTAAAAGCGAAACTACTTTTTATTGCAACAAGAAGGCTCGGTTTTTATCAGTAAACCATTACATACGAATGGTAAATTATTTACACAATGTCATGCACACTTTAAAAAACTCTAGTGACAAAAACTGGTTAAATGGGTTTTTTCAATTTCAAAATACAACGTCAAAGCAAACGCCAGTTATCAGCGATTCGTTACAACATCGCGTGAGGATATCAGGGATAGGTGTGATTTCAGAACTTTCTACTTATCTAGTTTGATTCGAGCCTTATCGTCAGCCCATTAACCCCATACGACTAGAACCATGTCATATATCAAATGCTTTATCTCAAAGCCAATTGACCTTTGTCCTTATATATGGTTTGAACCCCGTACCAATGGTGATTTCCCACAATGTCAATCAACCTGTCACTGTTTGAAACATGTACTAATATGGTTTATCACCATGCCAATCAACCTATAACTGTGATATGAATTGCTGTTTTAGTAGACCAACAATTATTTTATGTACATTTATTTGCTGTGATACTACTTTGTCTTTTAACTAACCAATTTTACTAACAGAGGACCCTGTGGAAGATTAGCTTTGCTAAACAGGTTTTGTATCCTCAATAAATAAAGTTTATTATTATTATTATTAACCTATCAACCTCTTATTGTTTTAACAATGTACCAGCGGTTATCGTCGGTCAGTTTAAACGTGTGCTGTACACTGTCTGTCATGCCAAATTAAAAACAAAGCTCGACCCTAACCATGTTTATATTTCAATCCGTAAGTCAACATTTTAATTAACCTTTTATGTTTTTAGAACTATGTGATTTGTTGTGGAACTTCTTTTCTTGTTAATAAACATTCTGGTTTAAACCCAGATCACGTTAAAAGGAATAGTTCTTCATGTCACTCACTAATACTTTAGCTTTTATGCTACGATCTATGGACGTGTACATGGTTTGAACTGTTCTAGGCGTTATATAGCTCGTCACATCAATTAATTTCATTTGGTTAGTGATATGCACACGCACCATCAACTTTCCGATTAGCAATTAACAAATAACTAAATAACCAAAACTCATACGTCAGGTAGAGGATATTATTAGCGTACCTGTCAAATTAACCTTGTACGGGCTATTACCTATAGTGACAGTATACCGATGTAAGGTATTAACTGCCAGACGTGTACGGCGCATTGTGTTCTTAACGTTTCAATCTTATTTATCAAATCGA